TGGTATTTTCAATAACCTCACACGCATGAGAAAGCTGGACAGTAAATAAGGAAGATCGTAGAAGAATTGACGCATTTGAGTTATAGTGTTGGAGGAGAATATTGAAAGTGCCATGGGCTGTCAAAAGAACCAATAGATCCGTTTTGGAAGAAGTGCAGCCAGAGTGCTCCTTGGAGGCCAAGATGGCTAAACTTCATCTCTCATCCTTCAGACATATTGCCAGGAGGGATCAGTCGCTGGAGAAGGATATCATGTTTAGTTATAAGTAGTACTAGAACTTAATTAATTCCCAACTTGCAAAGACTAACAGAATTTGTGGTTCTCATCAACTACACAGATAATCTTTTGAAGGAAGGGACCAAGTATGACTTTATCTGGCAGAACTCACATGTGGCAGGCACTCACTACTTTAATTTATTGTTGCTTATCCTGAGGACTGCTCCTTACAATTAGGATCTTCATTATTCCTTATTACCATTTTATCCAATCATCACCATTTTACAGGGGATGGAGCTTAAAGAACAGCCGATTGTAAATGGCAGAGCTAGACTCCAGACCTTGTTTGTTCATCTCCGGACTCTAGACTCTTGAACACTATTATCAATTTACAAATTAGTCACTGAGTTCAAGTAATGTCTATCTTTCCCTATTGTTGACCATTCTTTCCCTCCTGTTCACATGATTTTCTTATGATTCCAACTCATGAAGATCTCATACGTGTCAGAGTGGAAGTCTAGTCTACAGGGTTTTCATTGGTAGATATTTCAGAAGTCAGATCTTTCTCCTAAAGTACCTCTGGGTGAACTCAAACCTCCAAATTTTTGTCTAGCATTAGAGAACACTAACTGTACCAACCAGGCAAGTAGTAATAAAATGATGCTTTTAAAATACAATTAAACCACTTAACAAAAAAAACAGTTACCATTTTATGTAAAGTATCCCAAGTAATTTTCTTCATGTTTTTATTTATATCTGCTTTCACAGTTAATTAAGTAGAATCAAATGGTTAAATTGTTAGCTAATCTCCATTAAGCTTAAGGACTCATAAACCTACAATGGTAACTATACACATTCTGGTTTGTTGTAGTCTTTTAAGGCATAACAAAAATAACTTTAGAAAAATATGTGAAAGTCTGAATTAGTATAATTACTAGCTGTTTTAGTTACCTTTGTTGTTGTTTAGTTACCTTTGTCGGTACCGACTCATAACGACCTTATGCATAGCAGAATGAAATACTGCCCAATCCTGTTATCTTGTTGTTGTTTTTAAGTACTGTGGAGTCGGTTCCGACTCATAGCGACCCTGTACAGGGTTTCTGAGGCTGTAAATCTTTATGGGAGCAGAAAGCCTCATCTTTCTCCCACGGAACAGCTGGTAGTTTCGAACTGCTGACCTTGCAGTTCACAGCCCGATTCGTAACCACTAGATCCTGTTGCCTAGTGGTGCTATAATAGAAATATTACAAATGGATGTTTTTAACAAATAAATATTTATTCTCTCACAGTTTGTTGTTGATGTTGTTAGGTGCCATTGAGTTGGCACCGACTCACAGTGACCTTATGTACAGCAGATCGAAACACTGCCCAATCCTGGGCCAACCTTACTACTGTTGCCACGCTTGAGTCCTCTGATGTTGTCACTGGGCCAATCCATCTCATTGGGGGTCTTCCTCTTCTTCTCTAACCCTCCACCTTACCAAAAAAGATATCCTTCTCCAGTGACTGGTCCCTCCTGACAATATGTCCAAAGTATGAGAGATGAAGTTTGGCCATCTTGGCCTCCAAGGAGCACTCTGGCTGCACTTCTTCCAAAACAGATCTATTGGTTCTTTTGGCAGCCCATGGCACTTTCAATATTCTCCTCCAACACTATAACTCAAATGCATCAATTCTTCCACAGTCTTCCTTATTTACTGTCCAGCTTTCTTATGCATATGAGGTTATTGAAAATACCATGGCTTGTGTCAGGTGCACCTTAGTCCTCAAGCTGACATCTTTGTTCTTCAACACTTTAAAAAGTTCCTGTGCAGCTGATTTGCCTAATGCAAAATGTCGTTTGATCTCTTGACTGCTGCTTCCATGACTGTTGATACTTGATCCAAGAAGAATGAAGTCCTTGACAACTTCAATCTTTTTTCCATTGATAAGAATGTTATTTATTGGTCCAGTGGTGAGGATTTTGTTTTCTTTACATTGAGATGTACTCCATACCGAAGGCTGTGCTCTTTGATCTTCGTCAGTAAACGTTTTAAGTCCTCTTCACTTTCAGCAAGCAAGGTTGAATCATCTGCATCGTCTCTCAGAGTTTAGGAGGCTAGAAGTCAGAATTCAGAGCTCTGGCTCTGCAGAAAGGTTGTCTCCTTTCAGCATCTGCAGGACCATGATTCCTTGGAGACCTCCATGTGTATTGCCCTGGATCTAGTTAGTGGCACTGGAGGATAAGCACTGGACTGCTACCCAGAAGGTCAAAGGTTCAAACCCAGGAGCCGCTCCTTGGAAACCCTATACAGGGTCACTATGAGTCAACATTTCACAACAATAATGGGTGCTTCACCTAATGAATCCTCCTTCTCTGCTTACTTCTCTAAGATGTTGTTGTTGTTTTGTGCCATGGAGTCGGTTTCGATTCATATCAACCCTGTACAGGGTTTCTGAGGCTGTAAATATTTATGGGAGCAGAAAGCTTCATCTCCTGAAGAATGGCTGGTAGTTATGAACTGCTGACCTTGAG